TTTTTAAATTTTGTTTATTATGACATTTTTTTAATATTTAGGCCTAATTTTTTTAATTAAAAAAATAGCTGTTTTTTGGGAAGATTTATCTTTATGTTGGAATTTAAAAAATGTTATATGTTAACTCGTTTGGGCTGTGAATTCGTACCTTTGATGCCTTGCGCTGTCGGAGCACTACTCGTTGAGAGTGTGTATACTAACACCGGGGCATTAGAATACAATGATAAACGTATTCTTTCAATGTTAAAAGATGTTAATAATTACGTGATGTTAAAGTATTCTACAGCCCCGGTGTTAGTGTACACACTCTCAACGAGTAGTGCTCCGACAGCACAAGGCATCAAAGGTACAAATTCACAGCCCAAACGAGTTAACATATCACTTTTTTTTTAATTCCAACATACAGATAAATCTTTCCCAAAAACAAACAGCTATTTAAAAAAAATATTTTAATTTTTTTTATAAAAAACAAAATTAATTGTTTTTTAATTTATAATTTTAAATAGCTAGTGATTATTATCTTATTTTTCCACACCTGAATGCCAATTTTGGTGAGAATCACATTACCCATTCTCCCTGTGAATTGGTACCAAGATGAAAAATTTACTACTTTCAAGCTTCATATCTCGCTTAATATTCAAAATAAAATAAAATTTTCGCATATATTTGTATCTCTAATTTTTAGTATAATTGAACAATAACAAAAAATCGGACATGGAAATTTTTGACCAAACACCCTTAAGCAGGCAGCTGTTTCCCGGGCTAAATCCTAGCGTTGGAAGTCCATTATTACAACATGGTACTGTATGTAGTGTAGCGAAAAAATATTAGGCCTATATGTGTGGGTGGTGTCCATTAGCACATAACTCGAATTAAAATTATTTAATTTTAATTAAACTTGGCACAGACTTGTAAACCTAGGTTTGTTAATTCGTACAAGTTTGTGAACCAACATGATCGGACTAAAGGAGCGGGAGGATTTTATGGTGTTAAAATTAATTTTTCTCATGATTGGTTGTTTGGTTAAAGTGTTGTAAATTATTTTAAAATAATTTAGGCTACTAAAACCATAAAAAAACAAACAATTTAGTTATATTAAAGTTTTAATGTGTGCATGATCACCGGGAAGTTTAAAAAAAAACAGTAAGTATAAATTACCATGATATCCTTATGGAGAATAAGACAACTGTTGTAGTTTGCTTGTTTATGAAATTTTTTTTTCAAATTTGGCAAATTTATTTCATGCTAAGATATTAACATTTCACAAAAAAACATTACCTTTCCTATAACAGAATACTGTACTTAACTACTCATGAATCCTATTGTTATTTAAATAGGGAATACATTATACTTGTTTAAAATATTTGTGAAATATTTAAGAAATATAAAGTGAAAATACAACCAGGTAAATAGAATTTTGCTTACTCTGCAGGTTTGCTGTGACCTGGATATTTTTGCATTTTATTAGTTTATTATGTATTTTAATTAAAAGTTGAATATGTTATAACCACATTCTCAGAAACACATTTTAACCAATTTGATATCCACGCATTGTCATTCTCTTTCTTACAACGCAAGTAAAATAAATAAATACGTCTTCTTGGAATTGCGGGTAAACTTAATATTACCCTATTTAGAATGATGATGTATAATGAAGATTTAATTGCACCCTGGTAATAATAGGACTTTAAGAAAATATTATGTGTAATTTTATTGATTGAGGGTGTTTCTGTATTCATTGGGAAGGTTAATGAAAGTGTTCATGGAGTGATTGTCTTGTTGTTTAACTTGTCGGGCCAACATCAAACGCTAAAGCTTTTCCAATCAGTTCACTGAAAACATAATACCACAGACAAAAGAGCAATATTACTCTCTTGTCTATGATAATAGTTTTTTCTAGTAAATAGTATCGAGGATAACAAAATATGTTACACAGTTCAAATTCCAAATCTAAAGATCTGTTTCGAAATATATTTATTATATCAAACTGTGATTTTCTAGTACAAAAAGTTTTCTCAGAAAAAGGATTCTTGAATTAATAAATTAACTGAGAAAGTTGTGTTAAACTATTGGTTCACGATTCACTGTCACAAATGATATCTAGGTTTCCTGCAATGAGAGGTAGAAATGCATTTTTTTTGTCAAAATGACAAGTCAGGTTATTATATGTGAGAGTAAATGAGCTTGGAAAATCTAAGCTAAAACCATCAGAAGAACATAAAATAAAATATTATTGTTTTGCACTTTGAATAGTTGTAAAGAAGTTAAGATAATGTATTGAATAGTTTGATTTCCAAACTGATTGTAATAGTAATAGTGAAAGAATTCAAGACTACAATTGAGTTAAATAATGAAAAGACAATATTTTATAATGACCCCTCCAAAAAAGGTTTTCTTTCTCTAAGATAAGTGTTGATATTTAACTAGTATATGAGCTTGTACGTAAATGATCAGTTGAAAGATTCTTTGGTATTTTGTAAAATAAACAGCATTAAAAATATACAGAGTGTGTCTATAGGGGTTTAGACGTTTGATTGTATTTTATTTGGCCGTATGAAACTACATAAAATTTATTAAGTAGGTTTTGAACATATTTTGTAAAAATTTCAACTCCCAAACATTTCTATAAGCAAAATGGTGGCATTTTAAAAACTTTACCCATTGGATTCCTATACAAATTACTTTTTAATTCAAATTATTTTAATTCCCCGCTGTAACAATCTTGCAGACTAAATGACGAAATGTAGACTTGGGATTCCTCAGGTAGGCTAAAACCATTAACTATTGAATAGTCAAAGCTATAGTACAGTATTTATATTCCTATTTCAAATTGAAAATCATTTTATCTGAACAAATTGTTAGATGTTAGTCTCTAAAAATCTATTTGCAATGGGAGTTTTATTTAAAATTATCAAATTAACAGAGAAAATATGCATATTCCAGACATTTTCACATTCATACGATAAATACAACCAAATAAAAACATTATGTATGTTATGTTAGCTTTTGACATATTGTGCTATGTTGTATTTTTTCACTAAATAAATAAGCTGTATACATTTATTCTAATTTATATTTTACCATACTCTTAAATCCTCCAATACTCGTATATTTAGTTTACATATTTTCATTCATTGATACAGAGTAAACAGCAATACTCTCATTGATGTTTTGATAGCCTAGCGTGTGTGTGCCGGACCCAGGCGGGTGATTGCATCTTTGCCAGTTCCAACCGTGGCCTTGTGTATTAGACAACACATACTTATGCTGCTACAGGAAAGGTAATTAAGCATATGTTTGGTAAAATGTGATAGTATAAAATAAATATACTCACTAAATTTTATCAAAATGAATCAATAAACAAGCAAACTACTACAGTTTACTTATTCTCTTTCAGCATAACATGAAGAAGGTAGTCAGTAGAAGGTAGTCCGGGCTAGTCAGTCGTTTGTTCCATTTTACAATAATATTTCATTATTGTAATATCTATTTCTATTTCTATTTTTTTTATTATTTAATCTATTTCTTATTCGATCTTATTGAACTTGGTATCGTTTGATAGAGAATTGAAAATGCTAAATTAAATAAAAGTGTTCTTGAAATTTTTTCATAAGATCAGCCATTTTTGAGTAATTTTAAGTTTAAAAATGTTAAATGGCCGCCATTTTGAAATTTTAAGTTGAATCAAAATGATTTTTTTCTAACATGGGTCTCTTCTACATTAACATACATACTAAGTTTCATAAAGATCGGTTGAAAAAAATGCAAAGATAAAAATTTTTATGAAAAAAATACAAAATGGCGGATATCTGGTTAACGAAGTGATTTTGGAGAAAATGTTATTCTTGATTATTCTCTTTATTTTGACCCAAGGAATCACTATGTAAAATATGTCCCCACCTTTTTTGAACACTCTGTATAGGGGAGAAATTAAAACTAAAGTAGTTTCGAATATGAACCAGGTAAGCTATTTATGTTTGCTTCTAAATAGGTCACTTTTATAGCTCACAGCTGCACTAATGTATAATCTCTATTTGTGCTGCTTGAACATAAAGCCGTTATACTTGTTGTGACATGCTTGATTTAGTTTTTAATGGGCAATTTGCTACAGGAAATTGACTGCATATTATGGCTGGATACATTCTCTAAATAAAGGTCCGGTAAGTATAAACAGTAATAAGGCTTGAACATTGGCGTGAAGATTTATTGGCTAAACACAGTTTTATGTAAAGGAAGTTTTCATTGCACTCAGTTCTATTCTAAGTTTACTGTGTCAACTAAACTGATACAAAAATAATTCTAGGAAAGTCCTATCTTAAAACATAGTATAAACGAAATAAAATTGTACATAAATGTGTTGTTTTATTAACAGAACTATAACTGAAATTTTCAAATTGAAGAAGTTAACTCAGCGATATGTTTTTTGTCACCATTGAAATTTTACAGCATTGAAACTAGTTTTAATTTCCTATTCTACGAAATATTTTATAGACTATTTATTTATCACTGTATTTTTAAGTCACTCTTTTTTGAAAAGCCCATTTAAAGTTTTTTAAGGACAAGTGACAAAAGTACTATTTTTTTACATTGAAAGATGGCAAAAGTGTGCAGTGTAAATGTATAAGTCCCATTTAAAACATTAGAGGGCTCAACAAACACTCCACACTAATTTTAAATGACTAAAAAGTGCAAATCATAAAATAATACAATCCTGTCATTGGCTAGGACCATCTTGAAATTTCGGGATTGACTTGACACTCATTTATATTTTTTCCAAGCAATCACTCACGTGCTTAAACGATCAGAACAAAAATTTGTTAAGTTTATTACTAAACACATTTCTAAGGTGGTCCTTTAAAGGAGGGATGGAAGATCATAAATGAAACAATCCTGTTACCAAACATGATATTGCTTAAATGAAATAGATTACAACGAGGGAAAGAGGTAGACATCACAAATTAATAAGAATGAATATAAATATATTTGTCTTTTAACATGACGATAAACAATTTATAAAAATACATAAAAAAACAATAATGATACAATATATATAATGACTATAAAAATATGTTGTGTCCAATAGAAAATAATGCTGTTTTAAGATAAAACAGCTGTCTAATATTACAACTTTATTTTACACTCTTAAATACTAAAAAAGTATATACTGTCAAAAAATATGTTTTGGCACTTCAATTAACAATTAATGCCGATTTAGGTAAACATTTGTCCAAAACTATAACTATATATGACACTCTTGAAAACTACAAACTGTATTTTTGTTCTAAGGCCTATCTGCACTTCTTCAAGGTAAGGTAGCTGCTATCCTCCTTAATATGCTATTATAACAATTATAGTGATACTGAGGCTACGCCATAATACAAGTTTCAGTCTTATCAAGTTGCGATACATTATATCGTTGACTATTTATTATAAAATCATTGTCAGTATTCAATGGGATTGTTTAGTGCATCCCACAAATTTAGGCACGATGTAAAGGATGACAGATAAAAGCAATACTAGAATTCTCTAGATAAGCTTGCACTGCGTCTGATATATCACTAAGTCAAAAACGACACAAGGCATGACGAAAGTATTGTGAGATTTTAAATGCTGTCACAGTTATTGCTTTTTAAGGTTTATGTTCATAAAGATATTCTATTTTATGGTACCACTTAAGTGACAAAAACTTCAATATGCCTAACTTGTTTACTACTTTTAATAAAGCTGTGTTATAAGTATGTTTCCTCTCAATATTAGTCAGAAAAAAAGATTATTCAGGGCTGAAATGATGAAGCATGACTTTAGTTTGTGAGATTAAATTTAACTTTAATTTTTTTTTTACTAATAAATAAAAATAACTTTATCTTACCATGAGATATATTTTCTGACTATAATTAAATACTAGGACAATAAGGTTATCTGATTAAAATATAGGGCTTTTGCCAGGAATTATTAAGGACATTTTCGGGCCACTGACCATTATTTCAACCACTAGAGAAAACTTTAAACCACTTCTCTAGTGGTTGAAAAAGTGGTCAGTGACCACGAAAATTTATACTTTTGTGTTGTTGATATGTGTCTCTATGGACTTATTTAAAGGTAAGCTTGCTTTCCTGTCAATTTCCTTAACAATATTAGCACAATAGTTTTATTAAATGTAATTCCAGACTATAAGGCAGGGATGGTATTTAAACAAGAACAAACCACATGGGTTGAAATAACTATTTAGGTAAATAAAGGACAAAACTGTTTAAAAGTATGAAAAAAATAGAAATATTAGTTTTAAACGTTATATACATTTGTATATATGGAACAAGTAACTTAACTTTAAAAATTATATGTAATTTATAAAAGCACACATGTTATGGGCGTTATGGCAACATAGAATTTATACATGGGATGTGTAAAGCAGTCTTAGTTTTAAGGCAAGTTTCAAATTTTCAAAACTCTTGTTAAAAAATTATGTATGAAATAACTATTCAGCCCACAAAACAACTGATCAACAATCATTACAAACTTTAAGTACGTAGGTAAATTTTAAGACTATATAGAGTGTTGTAACACTGATGAAATATACTAAAAACATTAGAGATCACTTATATTTTAAATATTTCACTTCAATATGGAATGCAGTAGGACCTTCTTGATTTCATTTTTAAGTAGGAATATTATTTATACAAGAACACATGGGCAGAAAACGTTAAGGTGAAAAACGTAGAGAAGAGTTGAAAGTATGAAAATGTTAAATATAGAAATATTAGTTTCAAACATTACATAAATTCTTGGAATACTTTGTCCTAACTTTAAATAAATAAAGTTTAAAAAGTAAATTTGGTTTGTAAAAGTCCATAAGTGCATATGGTATGGTAACACAAGGAATACATAAAGGAATATACAAAAGGAATGTATAAAACTATAAAACAGTCTTGGTGTGTAGGTGAGTAAATATGTTGACAGTTCAAAACTCTTGTCCAACAACTTACAAACAACCATTAGAAACTTTTATTTTAAACCAGTCTGGGCTATCCAAAGTGCCGCCTTAAAGTGTGTCGACTCAACGAGTACTATACGACTTTATTACAAAACATAATGCACAAATTGCTGCTTGTATATTAAGAGCGCAAAGTGCATCATAGTTGCACAAGGCTTTAGCTGAGTGCAGCCATACATTTTTAGAGTGGCAATGAATGTTTGTGCTCGTAATGCATACAAGAATTTCCTACCACCATTATTAACTTATCATTACTCACAGATTAACTTTTTAGTTATATATAAAATGTCATTTATGTTATGGTGGCTTTTTCTTCACTTTCATTCATGCATTATCGGATGATAGTGTTTTATAGAAAAAAACCTTCAGTGAAATCAGCTGATTTAGCGAGCAGAAATGAACAATTTTGCATATTGTTTACAGGTGTGGCAATGTGATAATATCCATGCAGTGGTAGGAAAAAATAACGATATCTCAGTTGCGGTCACGACATTCCCTCGAGCAGAAAGGCTTTGTTCCTTGAAAGATGAAACTGTTGGCTGACAAAGGCTTGTTGCATGTATTAGACGAACACTGGAAACATCGTGGGTGCCAGTGAACACCCTCGTGGCTGAGCCCCTGTTCTCTGGGGCCTATAGGATCTCCACACCTGCGGCATTTCTGTAAGAGGAAAAATGTATTTTCCAGTGTACGCAAGTATCTTTTAAGGAGTAGAATGAAAATTCTACGGCATTCATGCAGAGTTTACAGTCTTAAGAGAAAATTTGTTTTAAGATCTTTTGAATGACATTTCGACGTCGCCGCAGGTGTTTCCTGTGATAACACTATCCCCAGTTTTTTAGTATTACATTCCATTAATTGTGTTTTTGCCGTCCGTGTTTTATATGTGTTCTAAAATGGTAACGACGGATCTACACAAATAGGATAGATGACTTGATGTTTTTGTCACACCTGATGATGGACTCCAAGTCCGAAACTAAAGTAATGTACTACTGCACAGGATCACTTGACAGAGGAAGGTACCATAAACCATTTAGCTCAGAATTAATTTGTATGGCTAAACCTTCAACGTGGGAATTTATTTATGATTTCTTTATCAATGCTTTTTTGTTTTATGTCTGTTTGAGGCATATGTATATCAAAACGATATGATGGCATTTAACCAAAATAAAAGAAAAAAATCAATCTGTATCCTCCTCCTCTGTACTAGTGTAAACGCTAGCAAAACAGATGATATGTGCATTACCTATAACTTATTAATGCCGTAAACTTCCACCCAAGCCGGACAAAGCTAATTTAAGGCCACTCACCGGCTGAGGCCACGTACATTAATGAGCTTAATATGGGTTAAACACGTTGGGGAATCGAACCTGTGCATGAAGAAAGTCCTCAGCGCCAACTCATCAGTGCATATAGGTTAGTTGGATGCTACTATAAGGAGGTGCAACAATAGCGCTCGCAGGTAAGATTCAACAAACTACTTGAGTACCAGAGGATGTAGTAACCTCAACGTGAAATTCCGTAAAGAGCTACACTCATCACACCGTCAAACAGATAAAAAATTACCAATCATGGTTATCAGTTTTAGTTCATCGCCATTACTACAGGCAAAATCAATAAACAAAAGTCAAATCCGGGTGCAATTTATAAAACAATTTGTACAAATATGTACAACAATAACAATTGAATACAACAATATCTTCAACAAAAATCCATTGCCCCAGTTGGGTGGTAAATAGTTACTTTCTGTTCAATCAATTCTAAGTCTTGTAATTTATTTGTCTCAAATTTTAAATTTTTACACCAGAACGCTGGAACTTTGTGATCAACTCCCGCAAGCACGAAAACACTAACATTGTGATTTTCACACAGAACATTGTTAAAAGGAAACCAACGGTACACTGTAAGTGAATGGCCGCTTGGTTGTAAGCTAATGAAAATTATTACTGATTTCCCAGTCGTATAAAAGTCCATGTACTAATTAGACTTTTCTGCTCATCAAAATTCAGTTGCATGAGGGGTATATTGATCAAAAATGTAACCCTAAAATACAATGCAACAATGTATCACCTTACCTTACAATAAATGTCCTTTATACAATTAAGGCAGGTTGGAAGGTTTTTGTTGTCTTCGTTGAGCACATACTCTAGGCCTGCAAGCTCAATGTCACAGTCTATGCAGCAGAAGTGGTTTAGATGGTAGTATTGATCTTCGGCAAAGGTGTACTGTGGATTGAAGATCAGCTGGAAGAACAAAAACATTAAATTTCATTACAATGAAATATGAATACTATCAGAGTGTCCAATGAGCCACAAAAATATATTTCAAGAACAATTAGTTGCAGGTTGTCCAGATTCAAAATTGTATGATTAAAGCTTTCTGTTAAAAACGTCATCATAGCCTACTTGCACTTTGGAAAAACATTCAAAGAAGTAAAATTAACTTTGATTTTTTTTTTTTTTTGTGATGCCGTTCAAGCTATGAAATTTTAAATATACCAATTATGGTGAAAATATACCAAAGACAATTTATCAAAAATACCAAACGTATTTATGTTACTTTTAGTACAAGGATTCAAAAATAAAACTTGCCAACAATGCAAAAGAAACCAATAAGATTCAAATTAAAAATATACTGTAGGCTACAAATCTGTTAGGTTTAACTTTTATTTACTCAATTTTAAATGAGTTTTCAAACTTTCGCTGATTTTCAAAACTTATTACGGTAACATCGTGGTCAATTTTCTATCATGATATTCTTAGTTCCCAAGAAAAGATGCAAAACACTGTTAGAGTGAATTTCCGGGTCTAATATTCAAATTACAAATTTCATATATTTATTCTTGTTAAGTTCCTGAACAACTGAACGCCCTGAGGTTAAAATACATTTCAAAAGTATTGTATCATTTCGAATCATTTCATAAAACCTACATTATTTTCTGAAGACCAAGATTTCACAGACTTTTTACTCTAGTGGGATTTCTTTTACCTTTTCCACCTATACATCTATGGGAAATATATTGTTTTTGTCTGCATTTTTGTGTTTGTGTTTAAATCAGATTTCAAAAAATGGCTTGAACGGTTTTGGTTTTGATTAAAATTTAGTATGTTATAGTCTTTTCTTTTTAACTCGTAACAAAATGGTACGAACCATGTTGCAGTAAAAAAACGCAGTTCAAAAGTTATTGCAACTTTTATGATTATTCTATAAATCCCATAAAATAACAAAGAAGATCAGAACTACAAAAAAGTGGCTTGATTGGTTTTAATTAAAATTTGTTATTTTATAGACTTTTTAACTCTAAACAAAATGCCACAACCCCCATTGCTGTACAAATTTAAGTTCCAAATTTATTGCAACTTTTGGGATTTTTGGCATACAATATTATAATTACTACCATCCCTTATCCATGATAAGCGTTATTGACAAGCTGGTGGGAAAAGAATGTGTCAGATTGTTGATACCGTTTATTTGAATTGTTACAGAAATAATATGGAACCACTAGATTATATTCAAAAAAGTATTATTAGAGTGATGATAGGGGCAGAATATGGATCAAGCTGTATGTGAAATATGATTAAGATTGTTTTTTTATTGTTTTTGACTCTGATATTGCTTCAAGATTTTCATTTACAATTTTTTTGCTAACTTTTTTGAATTGGTAACTTTCTCTCAATCGTACTGTTCTTGTTGTATTTTGTTGTAACTTTTTAGTTTTAGTTTTTATAACTTATTGATCGACCATGCATCTGTTCACCATTGCCTTTGCAATGAAGAATGTTTTATGCAATAAAATACTCATGACTATGACTTATGACTTATCCAACAGAGATTTGATCCTTACCTCATCGCAAGCGCTGCATCTGTGTATATTGAGAGTTTTGGGATAATGCCTCCCACAATAGACTGCTTTGTTTTTCTCGTCCAATACATACATGAGGTCAGCAAGCAATTCCTGTAAAATAAGACTTTGATGCAACTGACAAAATCAAATTGAAATTATACAACTTCAGTTTGTACTGCAAGAATATACCTTGTATATGCTTCTTCCCCTTTGAAACGTTTTACTTAAAAAGTGGTTACATAGAAATCTGTTTATGACTCTAACCAATCAGGTTTTATTCTAAATACTATATAGTTCTAAATATTGTTTTTCATGTCTAGTTCATATATGTTGGTGACACTGGAAGTTACTTTTGACGTAATAAATGTTGTTTCTAGGTATTATTTTAGGGATAGTTCTATGTTGTGTGTTTTAATTTCTTGTAATATAACCAGGGGACGACCTATTGTTTATGATTACATCGTTTTATTTTGGACAAACTAGGTTTAAATAACTTAAATAAAAAGAATTGTTTTCAGCTAATTTCAGCTAAGGATGACAAATCTACTAAAGTAGTATGTTTAATCTATGGTATCACGTACTGTTATGGAGATCATGTTTTGGGGCCTAAAATCTGAATCAATGGGTATGCTTTTTTGCAGGAAGCTCTGTGGGTTGGATTGTTTTGTTTCAGTCCCACAAGCGTGAGCATTTGCCAAAAGCATAAAATTGATAAAAGTGTTTAAGACGGCATTTTGTTAAGGCTAACCAAGACAATTCTTCAAAAAACTTTCAATGTAAACATTCCAAAAAGGATTGGTGTTCAAGCAATTAACATAGGCCTATAGGCATGATATAGTTCTTAATAAAGGTTTGTAGGAAATAAACTGTGACCAGACTAGGGGACGGAAAAATTATTTGGGCCTAGGGGCGCCAAAATGCTAAATCCGGCCCTGGTTTTATTTCAGAGTAAGGTTTTAAATTCCCTCTTAAAAAGCTGAATAAAAAATGTAAAATAAAATGAGTATGCCTATTAATCTTTTCTTTTATATTATTTACGATACACTTTGTTTGAAGCAAATACAGTGAATCCTCTCTAACCCGCCAATACAGTAGACTCCCTCTTATCCGGACACTTTTTAACTGGACTACACTAGACGGAAATGACATCTCTTTAACCGGAAAATTGTTATCAGCACATTGGTTTAACCGGACTAGATCGGCAGGAAGTGGGCGGTACTGAAACGACTGTTCTCATGGGAAAGATTTGAGACCTGTGATCACGTGTCTACAATACAATGCTCTCCTAAATTTAAAAAGAAGCATGAAGAAAGTCCTCAGTGCCACACTCTTTAGTGCAATACCTAAAACTAAACTAATCTAAATAACACTTAACTGCTGAACTAAACTGAATAAATAATATAAATAAACATCCAGGTGTAAGGACACTATTAATCGACTCGACACCCATTTTAACGAGTTTTCAGTGACGTCGGTTTAACCGGAAAAACCATTATCCGGACTGGCCTCGGTCCCGAGGAGTCCGGATAAGAGGGAGTCTACTGTAATACGGACTATGTGCTGTTGCCATGGTTACTGTCAGCCTAAAACTACAGGAAAAAAATAAAATTAAATAGAGAAAAAAATCATAGCATTACTTTTACTAAGAAAACTACAAAATCCCGAAAATTTGAAAATTTTTTTTTTAATTTGTGTCAGTTTGGTTGTCGATTATTGCCTACTCCTAATTATTAAATATTGTATGAACTCTATTCCAGATTTTTAAGTTTTCACATTGTATTTTAAGAATTAGATGAGTTCATGTGCATTTTTCATAACATATTTGGATTACAGAGTGGTTAAAATATTGACCTTCAAATCTGAAAATTGCTGGTTCGATCCTGAGTGTGAGATTATACTTTTCCTTACAAATGATGTTTTGAAAAATAACAATGCCCTAGAAAATTCAAATAAACTTGGTAAATATACTCACTTTGCACTCACTACAGACAAAACACTTAGGGTGCCAAGCTAAATCATATGTCTTCCTCTTGTTAGCGAATACGGCAACTGTAGAGTCGTCTATGAAACACTTGCACTCGACACACCTAATATCATGTTGTGTGTTCAGGACACATGAGGATGCCACATCACTGCAAACAAATGCAATAAAGGTCATATAAACATGATGCATTAAAAAAATCTAGTCCCAGATCTGTTTACCATTGTTTCCTATAGCTCGGTTTGGGCTCGGCTCGATCAAAAATCTCTGGCTCGCACACCAAAACTTTGGAAATTTTTCGTTTCGAGATTTCATCCGCAAGTTCAGAGATCCAAGCTAAGTATTGATCTTATTTTATAGTTAGTTGTTTATAACAATTGTTTAGACTTAAAAACATTATGACATCACCATGTTATTCATGCTATTATGTGAGGGCCAGGGGTCAATTTATTTAAGTTTTTATTGCATGATAATCATTGCATTATTGCCTGTATTTTTGTGAAGCCTTAACCTAGCAAGTAGAACGGTTTAGCCTTAGCGTGAAGATTTTGAGATTTGAAATTCGGTTTCAGTTCTTTAAGTTTCGGTTTTGGTTTGAGATTTCAACACGAAATAAGTACAATATTTTTTGTTCCAGTAAGACTATAGCTGGTTGCCTGAATCTGTACGAGCTATTGCACACAATACCAGAATCGGTACAGTAATTTTGTGTCGGCAAGATGCTCGCTGTTTCTCTGATACTAAATTCTCTTTGACATTGAGTTGTCTATCTGCAGTTTTCCTCCATTTTCTTTCGCTGGAGACAATGTTTTAACAGTAGGATTTTTTATGTCGGAACGGTGTTTTGTATCCATTGTTTATAAGATCCAGTAATTTCTTGTTGAAAATTCAAAATGAGGTCTTACCTAATCTACAGATAAATTACAGAGTTTACACTCTTTGTGACGAATAAAATAAAACTGTCTGCGTTAAAATCACCTGACAGGGTTGTCCTCTTGGCAGTTGTTTTCATTATCCACTCTGTAGGATGTGCTTGGTTGTGCTGGAACTATGTCCGGGAATTCACCACCTGTAAAAACAAATTGTAAATGTTAATGGCAACACAAAACAATACAACTACCACCTCTAATATTTCATATACATTTTAAGTTTATTGTAAAAAGAAATTCAGCGACATATTATTTGCCAAATTAAGTTCAGACATGCATCTACATGTTTTACCAATAAATCCAGTAATCCAATTAAACAATATATGTTTAAAATCTTAAAAGGTAATAAAGTTACCATCTATTAGTTAAACTAAATGTTACTGCACTGAAACAAACTTAAAACGTTAGTGTCGGCTACTAGAATTTTTCAAAATTAAAATCTAAAAAAAAAACAGAAATCCAAAATCAAAATTGTTGCGTTGACATTTCCTTTCCTCAGAATTATTTCAACAGAAGATTAATGAAAATCTGTCCAGTGGTTATTTCAGAATCTTTGAATAAAAAAACGGTCCCACGTTTAATATATAGAAAACATTATTTTAAACAGAAGAAAAACAACGTTGAAAACAAAGCAGTTTTGTAATATAGCCCTAAAGTGGATGAGGATTTTGGTATAGGTAATAAATAGACAAAACAAAACATCCTTGAAAGTGCTAAGGTGTGTATCAATCAGTATGTAAATAAAATGTAACTGGAACTGGATAATGATTGAATCTTTTACTTACTTCTTGAGCACTTTTAGAAAATTGTAAAATCTCATTACGTAGTTGTAGTTAGAAAAAGTTTTCTAAAATATCTTTTGACGAGACAGTGATAAGTGCTCATATATTTATGAACACCAAATTGGCCTTAAATCGGACTAACTATCAAATAGAATTTATGTTGGTTTTAATTACCTTAAGAAATTCAAATGAAGGTATTACAGTATATATTTTTTGTAATAATTCCCTATAACATCTAGTCAATATAGTGCATAGAAACTTCTCCTGTTCAGAAGATTTGGGAAAGATTGATGGATAAAAAAAAATAGTGTTATAGGTTCGTAGGAGGGTACCCACGGTTTCATTATGTAGGTTTACCTTCGTTAAGCTTAGGAGTGGTTGATTTGAATCCAATGTTAGGGCCGTCTTGTCCCTCTGCATTGCTATTTTCAACCGTTGTTTTCTGGAGTGGAAGGATGCCACTTCTGTCATCATCAAAGGCAGTACTATTGTTTTGGTTTGTGCTATCTTCAAGTTCACATCCAGCGTACGTTACAAACTTTCGACCAGTATTACACATCTTATTTGTCAAAGCGTTATCAATTGTAGGAGGCATTATCGGGATGGTTCTGCCAAGACTTTTCATATCTGTCATTGGCGATGTTTGCAGATTCTTTTCTACTGTATAAATGTGTGGGAATGGGTTCACGGGGTGTTGCATTCCTAAATTCAAATTCCTCAATGGTGCACTAATTTCTTCCACTCTAGTTCGTAAAGGATATTCAGCGTAGGGGAGCTGAAACGTAGAAACATGATTGATTAGACATTTCGTATAAAGTGATTATATTTAGGCAGAAACACAGTACTTGCAATTTTTCATATCAAAATACTTGTTAGTCTATACATGACTGTCAGATTTTGCGACAACTGACCCAAAGTTGCAACAATTATTAGACAGGCTTGTCGCAATCACAAAAAGTGCCATCTGCAATCTCAGGAGACGATTATATCTGCGTGTTCCTAGGAGATGATCATAATTTCTCCTCCACTTTGTATTAAGGTCCTACTGTACAACTTTTATGACCGCGGGATAACTTCATGACAGTAGTTTTAGACTATAAAATAATATATTATTGCCAGGCAACTGTTTTGCTACATTCAAACAGGATACCACAGAGTTCAACAAATAACAGGCTAGTAACATAAAATACAACACTTGCCATTTTTGTGTGAGTAACTCGTAGAACTTGTCCCACTCCAGCGTTTTGTTGTAATTTTTGCAAAAAAGTGCAGTATCTGAAAAAATTCTTATTTCAATTTAATTTTCATGACATAATATAATATGACCAACTTAAGTTTTTGCTGAACTTTTGTTGATAGAGTTGTGCCAAAGAGTATTCACTCCAAACAGTAGCCCGTATTTAAACAGTTAATCATTCTTTAAGCTGTTTTATATCCATAAAATATGTTTTTAAAGAGTGAATCTCATGGATGAATCTTCTTTTTTACCAAAGACAAATTTGGTACGTGAAAAACCAAACTGACGTTCAAACTCTTTTTGTCAAATTTCTCAGTAGAAAACTTTGATACAGAATTTTTTTTTCAAACCCCTTAAAAGTAGCCAAAAGAATCAATGTCAATTTCACCTCTACACAACTTATAATCTCAAGTTACGATTTTATAATCCCAGCAAAATAAATCCACCTTGGTTTTGAGAAGTTCTTGTAGTTAGAATCTCTACTTGGTAAATTTCACCTCTAACAAAATTTGTGTTGACTGTCCCTCATTATTCCGAACATAAGATAAAAAACAAAACTGTCTTAGCATGTAATACAGAAAAATCCTTTATGTGGAAAATGACGAACACACACAGAAGCAGACAGTTGTCAACATTCAATGCAGATGTATTATTTTTTAAATAGTACCCTTTGGCTTAACCCTTTGCGATCGGAAGGCCAGCAGGAGTGGCCACAACACAGTCTGCAGCCAGTCGGAATTCAATCCGTACTGACTTGGTTCCAACGGTCGGGCGGCCAGCTGTACTGGCCAAGTCCTAGTACACGCCCCCTCGGCATTCATCATGGCGGCTCGCTCCCAGCAGCTCGGAATTGTTTTTACTGAAAACCTGCAATGTTAGCATAGGGGATATAAATTGTAATAAAACAATCGTAATGTTATACTGACAACTGATTTATTAAGTAAAAAAAACAGAAGAGATATTGAATATATACATACATTTGTTTGAAAATGAAAATTCTTTGATATTACGTATTTACTAAAAGTGTAAAATGAACGTATATAGGCTACTCATACAAACAATGAGTTGAAAGTTCTCGTTAATCGTCTCGGATTTTTTTCACTGAATGATATTTTTCGAAACATTCACCCATGTGAAGTCCGGGATTGTTAGAACAAGTTTTACAAAAAAACTTTGACCTTTTTCTTTCTTTTCCTGGTCTTCTATCGCTACACACCGCACAGTCCTTTGTTTTACCTCCCTCAAGCGGATAGGGCAGATGAAGTTTTCCATTCAGTCGCTCGTCCTCGACTAAAGATGATGGTCTTCCTCGTTTTCGGACATTTCTTACTTCTCTGACCAGTTCTTTAATCAACATTTTTCTGTAACGTCTTTGGCGAACTACATTTTTCCTTTCTTGATTGGTATTGTATAGAATGAAGGAATTTGCAATTGCTGTTTCCAAAAGCCAAAAGAACATTTTCCTCCACCATTTCAGGGATTTCCTTGTAAATGAGTACGAGGAAATGTACTGGTCTGCGATGTCCACACCACCCATATGTTTATTATACTCACAAACTGCAGTAGGTTTTTTTACTAACTCCCCTACTCCCCCTTTTTTGTAGCGCCTAACCGTTTGGGTAGAGTTATCACCGAACAGTGTACTTAAAATAGCCACCAAGTTTTTGTCTTTCCACAACAGAAGAGACACTTCATCATTTTTTCTGTAGATTTTTGTTTCCCCAGTTTTTAATTTCAACTTAGGTTTAGGCAGGTTCTTGTTTGTTTGTTTTTTCGCTTTGTCCTTTTTAGGCCTAGCTGGTCTCACTTCTTCCGGCAATCCTTTTCTGTGTAGCATGATAGTGCCGGTTGTATGGGCTTTCCATGCTAATAGTGCCTCTGCCAAATCAAGATTGGAGTAAAATCTGTCAGTGAAAACGTGAAGCCCTTCAACATCTCCCAGTGTTTGCTTAAGTTTGTCCACTAGGTGTAAAACAACACGACTTGTAGCTCCTAAATCAGGCCTAATCAAGCGATCTGTGGTTGTTTTACCAAAATATGGTTCAATGGCACAAATATAGCCCGTAGTTGAATCTGACAAGACGAAAACCTTGATTCCCCATTTAATGGGTTTGTCCTTGTTGTAGGATTTAAATAGGATCCTTCCTTTGAACCCAATCATACTTTCGTCTACACTTACTTCATGCTGTGGGACAAAATACTCTCTAAATTTCTTATCGAGGTATGCAGCAACATTTCTTACCTTTCCTGATCGAGTTAATGTCCCAGCTACGCGGCCAGATGGAGGTGGGGAGACATGAAGATTCCAGAAGATTTGTAAAAATCTTTCCTTACTGAACACATCTTTGAAGAATGGTTGGTAGTCAACCCAATTGTTTGAAAAGTAGTCACCTATCTCTGGTTTCTCATTCATCCCCATGTTAATTATGAGTCCAAAAAAAGCTTTCAACTCTTCCAGCGTAAGGTCTTTCCACGAAAGCCAGATGGATTTCTTCTGGAGTGGTGTATTCTTCTGTATCTTTTCTGCAGCATACCGGTTTGTTTCTTTCACTATCTCCAACATTAAATCATTTGTGAAAAAAAGCTGGAAAAAGTCCAAAGGTGTTGTTGGCGTTTGGTCATTTGGTGGCTTATAACCACTATCATGTTTCCACGAAAACTTATTAAAATTATTATCCCCTTCAGACCATACCTTCCACTGTCCCGACACACCCATACCTTCTTCATTATTTGTCCCTTGGGCACCTTCACCATTAATCTCTTCAACTTCCATGCCATCATTATTTCCACTTTCGTGTACTGCTTCCGTGGTTAAATGTCCATTAAATTCCACATAGGCTACTTGACCTCCATCACTTCCATAGTCCTCTTCAAAATTTTCTTGAGCTTCATATCCATCATCAACTTCTTCAAAAACCAAGTCCTCATACTCTGCAGCTAAATCAGTTGAATTTACGTCACTTTCGTGGTCGGATCCATAATAAATATCGGGATCATCAGCATCTTCTTCGTCGGCAAACAATAAATCTCTCAATTCGTCTGATCTTAAACGGTCGTCCATAATTACTTACTTAAATATAGGCTTGGAATAATAACAAACATAACCCAATTCACACGTCTAAATGTTTATAAGAGATAAAACAGTTGTATTGTAGGCCTAACTATTATAAAAGTGTAGCGCGTATACGTAGTATATGTACAAATGTTCTTTTAATCAACTTATATTTACATTAAAACTTTAAACTAGATTAAAACTACAAATAAACATAAATCTGTCGAGGAAATAACCAAAAACTCAATTGTAAAACTGAACCAAAACAACGGTTGTTATGACAGCACTTTTGCCAAAACAACAGGTGTTTATTTTTGTTGTCGCCACCACAAATTTTGCTATATAATGTTGCAAACCTGCTGATCGGTTAGTTTATTAATTCCTCACTAGTTTGCAGCACTATACAGGCATCATAACACAGTTTGGAATATTACAAACGAAAACAATGTTGTTGGCCAGTCCTCCTGGACGCCCGAGTGTTCGTTGGATTTCATGTTGGCCAGCACCGCTGGCCGTCCGATCGCAAAGGACAACTGCTGTGGAAATAAATCCGACTTCCGTGCGCTAATGGCGGCGGCCAGTAGAGCTGGCCGCGCGACCGCTGAGGAATGACGGCAAATATTCATTCCGATCGCAAAGGGTTAAGAAAACTCGCAAATTAAAATGTTTTTACATAAAAATGTTTTTTATATAAAATTGTTTGGTAATAAATATTGTTCTTTCAACTAAACCATCATTATACAGTCATTTGGAGATAATTTTCTCAGTAGACCCTAACAAGTTAATTTACTAAATAATAACAATAAGATTATAATAGTAAATTAGTAAATAGTAATAATAATTATTATTTATATATTTAAGAAATGGGTCATTAATAAAATCCAGGATTAAGGTGGGGTTCTCAGACAAAAGTTTTTAGGAACTTGTAATTTAGAAGGCTGCTTGAAGTAACATACCTTTTCAGTTCTGTTTTCGGCATTTCTTCATATTTCTGTATAATGTCGTGAATTGGAAATTGTTTCTTGATGCACAATTTCCTACATTCTGCTGCAACTGTGCCTGTAACGGGCAACTTGTCCTCAGGGAGGCTGCTCAAATAATCAGCGGCCTATAGAACAAATTTAAAATACACAATAATTATCTGAATATATTTTATAAGGATATCAATATCTAATTTTAACTGAAGTTTGATGCCTTTGAACAGCTACTACCTGAGCATCTTTCTGACAAAAAAATTCTAAGGTACATTAACTTATAACTAATTATATATTACATGGACGATACCATTGAGTATAAACGTAACTAGAGAGCTTACCGCTGTACTATTAGTCGGTACCGATTTTGACGACATAATTCGGGCCGCTGATGCTTGGGATTGTAATGCCACAATTACCCAGTCAGCATAAAAATTGTTGAAAAGCCAAAAAAATTGTTGTACAACAATTTTAAAAGAGTTTGCAACAATTTCAAAATAAGTTTGGATATAAAACAATTTTAATATAAGTTTTAAACAATTTCAAAATTGTTTTAATATAGATGGTTAGTAACTATATTAAAATTGTTTTGATATGAGTGTGCAACAATTTTAAAATTGTTTTAAAACAATTTTAATACTATTTCGAAAACACATATCAAAATTGTTTTGATATAAGTTTGCAACAGTTTTAAAATTGTTTGGAAACAATTTTAATACTATTTCGAAAACACATATCAAAATTGTTTTGATATAAGTTTGCAACAGTTTTAAAATTGTTTTGAAACAATTTTAATAATGTTTCGAAAACACGTATCACAATTGTATTGATATAAGTTTACAACAATCTTAAAATTGTTTTAAACCAATTTAAATGCAACTTCTAACAATCATTAAAATAATAATTAATGTTATAAAACCAAAATATTCTGGATATTATATTTATGAAAGCGGCTTTCCTTTCAGTAATATAAGTTACAAAAATTACAATGGCCATCCATAATCTTGAAATAATCTGTTTTGTAAAAAGATTTTCGTGTTTTTTCACCCAAATTTTAAATCTTTCGCGCATTTTTTCTATTTTTCCTTATGGGACACTTATAACACTTATAACTTACAAGTATAAGTACTTGTAGGATAATAATAGTCAGTGTGTCGTGCTGTGTGTATGTGCCAATGCAACGACAGCTCCCCGCGATTTTGATTAGAGTACAGTACGATAGTGGTAAAATCAAGTGAAAGAGTCATGGAGGAGGGGCAGACTGCCAAACTCAAGTTAAAGCGGAACCTGTATAAGTTTAATGGTTAATAACAACAGGTTAACAGTCGTGAAAATAAATTATTTATTATTTGTAATTGTATAAGTATACTGGATCAGTTTTAACATTCTTACAAGTATCATCTACTCTAGACTCTACCAGAGTTTCGCAGTTCACTGACTACAGCAGTCTCCAGTCTGTTGATTTGATCTTGATCACAGGCTGACGGCATCACGGCATTTTGTTTATGTTTGATTGTTTGAAAAGTTATTAGGTGCATTAAGTTTACTGATTTTATCCTACATAGCTTCTTAAGCAGCAAACAAGGTGAGTTATAACTTACTTAGGCCTAACTTGAAATGAAATAGTTCCAATAGTTATAGAAATTGACCAATAGTTCCTGGTCTAAGTTAACCAATAACTTTGATAGGTATTTGGTAGGTAACATGATTATGGCCCATCTCTGGAATTGGCCTAGCCTATGTGAGCAAACTCTAATTAATTTCCTTTTGTTTCTCATAAATATAACAGGCTATGTTACTGAAACTGTAATTTACTGTTGGGTTTTTAGTAAATGGTCGTTGCTAAATGATACAGTTGGATTTACAGTAACTAAAACTAAAATAACTCAGACCTAACTTACACAAGGCATCTAACATTAAGTTTATAAACTCATAATTGAATTTAATTACTCACTTAGGTGGCGTCCCCAACTCAAGTAGAAAATGACATTGTAGGGCCTGTCGCCTAATGCGGTAACTGCTTAAAAGTAATATGACTAGGTATTCAGGCTTAGGCCTAGCTAAGTTACATCAGCTAGGGATTGATTTTTAAGTTAAGTTAGCCTATTTTTAAACTTGTTGTGTTAAGGGCTGCAGGGGTTTATAAACTCTATTAAGTTAAGTTTACAAATATGTTAACTTACTAGACCTTGAAACTTGGTTAACTCAAAATTTAACCCTCCGAGTGTTAAGCGTCGCGTAATCGACGCACAACACACCCGCCGTGGTGTTATGCGTCGCTTTTGCGACACACAAACATTGTTTATGGCGAAGGCTCTGGGACTGCCTTAATCATATTGAACTGGATCGAGATTGGCATCGCTTTCAGCAGATTCTAAGCTTTCTCCTGATGTCTGTTTCTATACGCTTTTCATTTTAGTTCCGAAAATATTTTAGCAGACAGCTGACTTGCGTATTTGTAAACAACTTGGTTAACCTCGTACCGATGACTGATGTGTTTTATTAAACGTTTCTATTGTTTTAGTGTTAAAAATAAAAAGTAGTGATATAGCCTACGTGGTGTATTATAAGAAGATTTAAGTGATTTAGAAGGGCTGGTTGATGATCCTGAAGAAGTAACCCGGTAGTCCGGTAGTGATATTGATGTAAATTATCAGCCAGATTCCTAGCTATGGTTAGGCTATGCATTCTTAACTAACGCTTAATGTACGAAATCTGTTTTTCACCCGTAACTTATTTATTTGCAAATTTACTTCCTTAGTATATTATTATATTTTTGTAATCCTTATAAAATTTAGTACAAAGTGGCTATTTTAAAATATTTGTAGACTTTATAAAAAAAATATTGAGCGCAAACATACATGTTAGGCTATTCATTTATTATATAATTTTTGAGAAATATTAACCCCACAAAAATTGCAGAATTTTTTTGCAATGTTCTATTAAATGCATTTTGTTTTTTGAAGAAATGACGAAGAAGAGATGGGCCAACATTGAACAAAGCAAAATAGAGAAATCAGTTGCTTCATGGCTGGCACAGACACAATTAAAATCAAAGACTTAGAAAGGGTATGTATAGTGTGATAATTTGTATTACAAAATTCACTTAGTGAGGTTAAAAACATAGGCTAACAAAACAATGTGCTACTAGCTTTCTCTCTTCATTCCGGATGCTTCAGTTTCGATAGTATATTGTTATACTAAAGCTCAGGTGATTTTCTTTATCTCAGACAAATACTGCAACAATCATTAATACTTGACAGGGTTTTTTTATTTCACGATTCTGAATCTACCACTTGATGGATTTTCACTATTTTTGTGTCGAAAGAAAGATAATTTTGAGAACTAGGGAATGTCAAAGGCACAATTTTAGTTTAGGGTTTCAGTTTAGAAATTAAGTTTTCATTTTTTTAAGTCAAGCAGCCGACGTCAACATTCTAGACTAGCTTTTGCTATAATGCCATTTGCTTAACGTAACAGCTGTAAACATTCAGGGGTCCCTAGTAACGAAATATAATATTAATCTGTGTGTTATAATTTTAGGGCAGGGTGTCAAAGAGCACCTGAAGAACAGGAAGATATGAGGATCATGAAGCCGCCGACGCTTGAATGATGTGTAAATAATGTATTGTCAGGGTGTCTACGAACCGGGAAATCCGGGAATGAACTTATTTTTTTACTGAAATTTACTGTTTTTAGTAAATATGGGTAGTTTTTAGTGGTAATTGTCCTTAAATAGTTGTGTGGGCCATTTTAAGTATGACATAAAAATTTGTTAGGAACATAAAAGGTTTTTTATCAAATGTTTGCTTACATTTTCATCATTTATTACTATAGAGTAATTATGCAATAGAAACCACATTAGCAGTCTCAAAGCCATAAATATTTTATCTTAACAATCACATCAAGTCAAGTACTTCAAAAAACTTATGACTCAGTAGCAAAGCTCATAAAAGTTGTATCACTGTCATTCCTTGGCAACTTATTTATTTATTACTAGGGTAATTATCATTAGATCCCAAACCTATTTGATCATGGAAATAATAGTTTTATATTAGCTGTTAAATTTAACTTCTTTTGTACTTTCATCTTGAAGATTCAATTTGCCGCTGGCTGTTGCCTACTCCTTTAAAAACTGTTTACGGTTTCATATTAAACTTCGAATTAATATACAGTGTTATTTTATAAGTTAAATCCTTTTTTATGGACATTTTATCTTTCAATTGACAAAACCACGAGCATTGTTGTTTGCATTAATTTTTTATCATCACACAGGCCTACTTGGTCTCAAAAAATCATGTCCTTGCATTTTATGTATCTTTTACTTATATTGTTGGCTGTTTGGGTTTCATTATTTTTTTGTTCCCCATATTTATTTATTGTGTTGTATGCTTTAAGCAATCTAAATCTTATAAACTAGAGTTTATATAAGCCCTCCTAAATAATTAGGTCTAGGCCTGGGCAAACTAATGATTGCTATATATCAATGTTAACTTTGCAATTGTAAAGATAATAATTTATTCCGTGCTTACTGGTAGAGAACTTAAAGTTTGTCCATGAATATTTTATTTTTATATCCATGCATCCATTTCTACTTTTTTAATCCAGAATGTAGTAGACTGTGTTTTTATTATTTCTCTACTTTTTTAATTATTGTTTACTTCAAATAGAAGAATTTCAGTATACTTATTTGTTTTTATTTATTCACCATTGTTTTTGATAGTAAACTAATCAATTAATGTTATATTTAATTAGTTGCTATAGGCGTACTTATTATTTATGAACTCAAATAGAAATTAACCCTAACAAAGTTCCAAATTTGTCTATTCCAAACAACTTCAAAATTGTTATACAACAACTTTAAAATTGTTGTACAACAATTTTAAAACAATTTCAAAATTGTTTTAAAACAACTTCAAAAATATTTTATAACAATTTTAAAATTGTTGTACAACAATTTTGAAATTGTTGTACAACAATTTTAAACTTATTTTAATATAGACAAAATTCCAAATTTGTCAATTTTAAAACAATTTTAAAACAATTTTGAAACAATTTTAAAACAATTTTAAAACAATTTATTTTCTTTTCCAACAATTTTTATGCTGACTGGGTAACTGTAGGCTATACAGGA